AAAACACAAACATTAAAAAAAAAAAAAAAAAAAAAAAAAAAAAAAATGAACTAAACAAAACAATGAATCGTTAAGGAATTCATGCATGTTTGGGAACCCAGTTAGAAAAAGTACAGGGGTAGTAATCCAGAAATTCAGGAAAGGGGTTATCTGTTCAAAGGAGTAGGGTCACGATGAAGCCTAGAGAGGACTTAATGGTGCTGTTAGTGCTCTGATACGTAAATTCGGTGGTGAAGTCTTAAACCTTTAATATTCTGCTTCATCGCTTATTTACATTACGTATATTAATTTCTGTGTCAAACTACTACATAATTTTTTAAAAATATATCTTTATTGATTTCAGAGAGAGGAAGGGAGAGGGAGAGAGAGAGATAGAAACATCAATGATGAGAGAGTCACTGATCGGCTGCCTCCCTCATGCCCCCTGCTGGGAATCGAACCCGCAACCTGGGCATGTGCCCTGACTGGGAATCCAACCTTGATCTCCTGGATCCTAGGTCGATGCTCAACCACTGAGCCAGGCCCAGCCAGGCACTACATAAAATTTTTAAGCCTAAATGGACTGACTAGGGACACAGAGCAAATAAGAATCACCACAATCCCAAACTGAATACACAAATAGGTAACTCACTCACCGGCTTGATTTCGACATTAGCAACTTCAGCAGTTCCACCAATCCTAAGGTCTATGTCATTTGTATGGCGAATAGCAACCTGATATTTAGGAGAAATATAAAACTCTGCAGAAACCACATTAAAATATACTCATATACCGCTTAAGTGTTACCTGGCATTTATGCAACATTTTATAATTTAAATAATCTCAACACATTATACATGTCACAAGATTTCTTCTAGCAGTTGTCAGCACATTTCTTATTATGCAGAATTGATATTCCTAAGAGGAGTGAGTATTCAACTCTTAAATCTGCAAATGGGACCAGCTGACAGTGTGAATGTGACTGCAGAATTCTCCCCACTTGAATTGACATTATTGCTTCAGACTCTCTGTGGCCCTTTTGTATTTCCCTAATTTCGGCAGGTTATTAATATTAAAACAAACAGGAAACTGACTGCAAACACAGTTTTCCATAGGAAGATACTAATGTCCACAACAGCGATAATGAGATCAGCTAAACATCGCCAGGTATATGGGCTGAGTGTGGAGCTAGACACGTTACCTCCTTTTTAATCTTCACTATTCTGTGAGGTTACTACTATTAATAACCTAATTTCCAGGTGAGAAAAGCTAAGGCTTAGAGAGGCCAAGTATTTTTGTCTTTTTTGGAGGGGATCACAAAACTTGAAAGCAGCAGCAGCGAAACTTGGTCTTACATGCTTGATTTATTGTTTAATGAACACAGAGAAGTCCCTAAAATCAAGGTAATATCTTCTCATTTACATAATCCCCAGAACATAAAATAGTAAAACGTTTGATGCGTGCTATAAAATATAGATGTTAACATCATATAGAATTTGCCTGTAATTCATATCGTCATTAAAGCTATCTAGAATTAGCATTCCAAAACTGATTATTTTTTTCCTAAGGTATATAATTAATGCCATGAAAAAAATCCTTTGCTCTGTGACTAGTAAGGGACTTGTCAACAAGTTAGAGATGCCAGAAATAATTCCAATTTCATGTGAAAAATGCCTATATTGATGAAAGGTGTTCATTTCAATTTAGTATAAATTTCCATTACTAACTTTTACCAGAAATATTTTCTAAAAATCCTCTTGCCAAGTTCTGCTAACCATTTTTATAATAGATGATATAGGTAAGGTAGCTTTTCTTTTAGATTGCTAAAATATGCACTTCATTAGAGCTAACTCATTGCTAGAAAAATAAAAGAAATTTTTAAAAAATCTTTAATATCTTAATTTTAAAACTAATTTTTCATTCGAAGAAATCATTAAAATAAGCTTTCTAAAAATAAACATGTTTACATTTTATAGCATTATACTTACCACTACAAATATCTTAAACAACCAAACAAATCCACAGACATATATATCGTGCGTGGACACATATGCACAAACATACCTTTGCTATTGTATCAAATTTTTCTGCCATGGTAGGTGTACAGATGATAGTAACAACAGTTAGCCCCCCAAATGGAATTATTCCTTCTGATGGGACAATTTTAATGATAGGCAAAAGGCTCTTACTGCAAACCTGTAAATGAAAATTTGCAGAAATGCTAATTATCCTTTCTAATTTTTTAAGTATAGTTGGTATGTAATCTTATATTTGTTATATTAGTTTCACGTGTATGGTATAGTGATTCACCATTTTTACACCTTTCAATGTGATTACCTCATTAATTTTAGTAATGATTTGTCACATGCAAACTTATCACAATATTATGGGCTACATTCCCCTTCTCCTTTTCATTCACCCCCTCCCTTCTGGTAACCATCACTTTGGTCTCTGTTTCTATAAGGCTGTTTTTTGTTTGGTTTGGTTTCTTCATTATCCTTTCAAGTTACTGTTCCAAAGTTTTCATAGGAAAGCTTCCAAACTACTATCGAGAGAGAGGACCCCCAAGCACAGGGCATGCGGTGATTGTATAATCAATTTTTCAAACACCAAAGGGACATATAGTTTGAACTTCAACAAGGATTTGCACCCCTGACCCAGCAAACAGAACATTCAAATAGTAAGATGAAGTTTATTGTCTGAAGTGTTTTCAAGACTCTGCAAACCTTACAAGGCTGAAATATATCTCTTAGAGAAGATGCTAAGGTTCTAGATGCTATACTGATAGTTCGCTTTTTCCCTGATCATAAAAACTGAAAGCTACCTTAGTGGGGATGCAAGGTGATAAGTAACCTCCTTTCTTCTTTGTTATTTCCTTCACAGCCTATGTCTAAGGTATCATGTTGACATTGAAAAAAGGCACTTACCAAAGGGTGGATGGTGTGGTTTGTCAGAGACCAATTTAACCCTATCTACCATCCTTTAAACCAAAATAATTTAAAGGGAAATTAGATATTTAAAGGGAAATTGGAAATTAATATATTTGGGGAGATGAGGGAACAAATAGCCTTCAAATCTAATTCTGAAGCAACAGAGTAGAAAAGGGTATCCTCATTTGCTTACACCGGGGCAGAAGAAGACTTCTAAATATAAAGCTTGAATGAAAGACCTCAAAGATTAACTTCGATTGGGGCATCTTAATAGATTATTCAGTAAAAACAACAACAACCGCCCCTATCACCACTTTAAACATACCCCCACCCTGAAATTTAAATAAGAAACTATAATGACAGTATCTTTAGAATGATGCCTGTTGCTACCATAAGAGTCCTGATGACAGAGGAGAAAAGGAAAAGCATGTAATTAAACATGGAATATAACATCGACAAAGTATATTTTTAAACGGTGTTTTCTTCAAATGACTAATCTTTTTTTAATATAACAAAATAACAGGCAGAAAGAAAAAAGAGGGTAAGAGGAAAAGAAAGAGAGAGACTAAGAAAGGGAGCGAGAAATGAATTTTATGGGAAGTTAAAAGGACAAAGTAGATGAAATGTACTCAGATGTCTCATGTGAAATATCTAAATACTAGCGTTGGTAAACTTATAAAGACTACATATTAATGCCACAGTACTCATAGCAAAATATTAATTTGAATTATAATGTGATCTGATCTAAGTCAGATTCCAAGATTTTACATCACCTTGAAATAAGCATGGTTTTGTCCTACGTTGTGAAGAACGACTTTCTTCCAAGTTGTTAAACCTTGAGGGCTGTTATTGAAGAGTATCCTTGGCTCCAAAAATAAGACCTTGGTGTTACCACGCTAAGGGTAAGAAAAGGAAAGGGAAAATGCAGCTGAGTAATAGTAAACAACTTTCTTTTTATCCCCACCAGATAATTCAAATATTTTTTCAGCTTCATGGAACTTTCTAAAATGTGAAGTGTTATCAGATTTTAAGAGAAAGGAAAATAGAATGGGATATTCAAATTGTACTCCTCAACTGAAGGCGGGAGGGGGAGTACAATAACTATGGAAGAAGTAAATCCAAGACTGAGAATCCTGTGAATTAATCACTGAAGGAGAGGTAAGAGATCATCTCCCCAACTGTGTAGTGTTACTAGACGCCTTGTCACAGCACTTAATATGCTGATGACGTACACTTTGCTTATCCGAGAATGGGGAAGGAGTTTACTGTGATTCACAGCATTACTTAGGGGCAGGGCTCTCTCCCCTTATCCCACACAAATAATTTCACAGAACCAGTGCATCCGGAAAGACTTTTTGGAAATGTTGATATTATCCACCTCTCCCATTTTGCAGGAAAGCAAACCGTAGCCAAAGGCAACTAGAACCCAACTTTTCCAATTCCTCATTCAGTTCTCTTTACACCAGACCTTATTGTCTTTACCTATGGTCTATTATTTCTTATTGTCTTAGTTTTTAGTACATTCTTAAAATTATTTGAAGAACATGGTATGGGTAATTGTTATAATAGTTTTCAAGCAAAGCTAACAGAAGAGGAAATAGTCAAGGCCTTCATAAATTAATGACATACTTGAACATTTTATTTAATCACTTCATGTAGCTCTATCTTTACTTTCTTTTTTAGTTTTTTTAATATATCTTTATTGATTTCAAAGGGAGAGGGAGAGAGAGAGAAATATCAATGATGAGAGTCATTGATCGGTTGCCTCCTGCACGCCCCCGACTGGGGCTGGAGCCTGAAACCTGGGCCTGTGCCCTGACCGCGAATCGAACCTTGATCTCTTGGATCACAGGTCAATGCTCAACCACTGAGCCACACCGGCCAGGCCATCTTTACTTTCTTAAGAGTAATACTTCACAGTCCATTTAAATTTAAGGGCTTCAAAAGTTTACCAAAAAAGAATCTAATTTGTTATTCTGATATCTCAAGGTTTAATTCTTAATCAATCCCAGTGCAGGAAAAGCGGAAAGCAAATTTTATCAGAGGTAATAGCAAAGGCTATGGAGGCAGATCTGAATATAAATTCCAACTAGGGCATTTACTGCATGTGTAAACTTGTATTAGTTCATTAACTACTCAAATCCTCCATTTCCTTACCCATCAACTGAGTTATTAGTACATACCTATAAAGTTGTCATAAGGATTAAATTAAATAATACATGAACAGCATTTAGTATCATGCCTGACACTATAATTACTCAATAAATGATACCTATTATTAATGCCAAGTCTACATTACTAAGTTGCTCATCTTTTATCTGTCAGAAAAAAATACACACGGGATAACGATGTGGGCAAAATTTATATTAGTACACTTGTCGAACACAAAACAGTGAAAGCAGTAGGACCCAGCTTATTTCAAGCCTGGAGCAGGAGAAACACCCTACTAACTTCTGCCAGCCACTTGCCATCATTAAAATAGATGAAGCTCTTATCTCTTAAGGCTATAAGCTCCTTTATAGCTGAAATATGTAAGAGCATGATCATGGCATAGTGATAGAGATGGGATTTAGTAAAACAGCATTTGGCTTGTGTTAAATTACAAAGAACACTAGGAGGGAAATTTGATACACAAGTGGATTTCTAGTGATTAAGAGGCACCAAGTGAAGGCCTTCTGGGCTCTACCACAGAAAGAAAGTTAAAATTATATATTGCAGCTTTCACTTTACTCACATCTTCATTACAAGAAGCATATTTTATAAAAATAAGAAGTGTCCATATTTCCTTGCTATGTAAATTGCAAGATCCATTTCATACTAATTATTAATTACTACTAGAACACTAAAAATGCAACAGAGTAGGACAAAAATATAATTTTCTCTAATTTTCTTTGGCATCTATTAATGAAATATTTTGATTTCAAGTGGCTCCGATGATATTATATGTTTTTAGAGGTTCTAATAACAAGCTAGTATTGTTGGCACAAAAGTCTTGGATTTCTAAATTCATTCTAGATAACAACACACTTTTTAGCAAAGTCTTCATTTATGGTAGAGAAGTGGCTCCAGAAAGATGCTGACATAATTTAGTTAACTAAGTATCGCATGCAAAATCCATTTTTACTAACATAGTATACATATCCAACTACTCTGCACACACATGTATACCCAGCCAATTCAGAGCCCTGAAAATAAAACTCATATTCAAGGGAAATCATTACATGTGCAACACATTTCAGTGTCATCGTGTTTCCTTCATCAACGCAAAGAGTAAACTCTCCCCTTTCTGGAGAACTGAAGCCCGGCAGCCACGTTACTTCACATTCCAGTGTGGAGTAGGGTTCAATAGTGCCTACAGAAGATTTAGACAGAAGAAGACAGTTCCAAATTTTAATTATATTTATTTTTTTAACATCCAAAATAAGGGCTGGCATACAAATATAATGACATTATACAACAAATTATTTAAACTAAACTCAAAATATAGGGAAATACTGAGTGATTACCAACTGAGTATAGACCTACAGTTTGATTAAAATCTAAAATGCATAACTTATTTTCCAACTTTAATAGGCAGGTGAAATATTTGACAAATAGTATGCCAATATTTCCAAAAAATAGACATTTGTCAATGAAGCAAACACTCTAGGATTAGAGGTGGCTTTATTCATACACAGTCGAAAACCGTTCATGATCCCTGAAATACTTATTAACATCAGACATTCATTCAGCTTTCAGAGGAAGGAATTACCAGAGGCTTTCTTTTAATGTTCACATCCCTAGAAATGTAACTTCTGATATAGCTATGAAAATCAACACACTTCTATAATTCAAATGTACTGAGAGCCCAGGAGGGATCAGGCACATTTAGTGTGAGTTGCTTTATCTGTTTAAATTCATCAACTCCTTTAAAGTAAGAAAATAATACCTGATGGAAAGAATAACTAACTCGGAAGTTCTTTCTTAATGAAGAAAGGATCACCTGAGATTCAAAGGCAATGGACAATGAAGGGAGAGATGAGTGATCTTCACAAACTTTGCCTTTGGTCAGGTAGGCTCTCATGCTGTGGTAGTTTCCTCAATCTTAAAAAAGATACAGCGCACCCGGCCAGTGTGGCTCAGCGGTTGAGCGTTGACCTAGGATCCAGGAGATCGGGGTTCGATTCCTAGTCAGGGCACAAGCCCGGGTTGCGGGTTCAATACCCAGTCAGGGGCATGCAGGAGGCAGCCGATCAATGACTCTCTCATCATTGATATTTCTATCTCTCTCTCTCTCTCTCCCTTCCTCTCTCTGAAATCAATAAAGATATAAACATAAAAAAAAAAAAGATATAGTGCCTACCTCCTATGACCATGAAGGGAGATAACAATACGTGTAAAGGAATTAACATAGTGTGTGATGCCCAGAAAACACCCAGTTTCAGATATTATTAATACTCCTGAATGCCAATACTTATGTTAGTACTCAACAGTTATTTATAAAAAAAATAGAAACTGGTCATGGAAGAGCTAACAGTCTAGTGGGAGTCCATTAGGATTATATTTGTCTATAAGTGACAAAAAGTCCTGCTACAGTGGGTTAGGTAGATAGGGGTTTGTTTATCTTATGAAATTAGAAGTCCACAAATAAGCATTCCAGGGCTGCCTTAACAGGTTGGCAAGGCCTTCAAGGAGCAATGGTCCTTCTAGCTTCCCACACTACCACTCCTTACTGTGCGGCTCTCCTCAGTGAGAAAGGTATCATAGCATAGTAGTTAGAAGGGCACAATTTCTAGGGTCAGACTCCCTGGTTCAAATTTTAACTCTGAGACTTACTGTCTGAGACCTTGGACAATTTACTTAACCTGCCTAACAGTTTTCTCACACAGAAAATGGGGATAACAATTGTATCTAACGCAGAGAATCGTTGTAGGGGATTAAATAAGCTAAGAGATATAGAAGTACTTCAAACAGTACCTGGCATAAAGAAGAAGCATGGAAATAAAAGAAAATTCTGTCCATAGCCCATTGGCCAGAAGCTTGGGAAAAAGAGATTTCTAGATAACACTGCTTCCCCAAACAAAACAAGGGTCCTGTTAGGAAGGGGAATGAATATCAGGCAGGAGCTTAGCAACATCCACCACAATAAGAGATGTATAGAAACAAATAATTGGAGATAATTTTAAAAGGCTATGCATGCATTGTACCTCCAAACAGTACATATTCAGAAAGTCAATGATTCTTGCAAAATAAATTAATAAACTAAAAGTGAACATTTTTTAAAAAAGAAATACACAGTGGGAGCTGAAAAGAAGGGGAGTCTAAATCGGCCCAAGAAAGTGGAGAAAACCTCACTTGAGTTTTTCACAAGAGATGGCATTTGAGTTTTGACTGAAGGGTGAACAGGAACTTTGAAGGAGGGCAAAGCTGGGGTAAGTGTAAAAAAGGTCACGTGACAGTACTAGTGGTGTGTGAAGAAGACTGTGGTGGGAAGTAACACGGGCATAGAAGATTCCTATTATATATAAAGACACTTGAACAGGGAACAGGGAAAATAAACTGGATGGCTAGACTGAGCAAGGGTGGGAATGGCAGGGCAGGTATTACAAATGGCCAAGGAAGGAGAGGATTGAGAAAGACAGTGAACTGATTCAAGTTTGAAGATCAAGTGGACTCAAGGGTTCAGTAAGGTTAAAGACAACAAAGATGAAAACAAAAGATGCAGAAACATAAACAGTACTTAATGAAAATGTCCTATTAGGAGCCAGTTCTATCTTTGTTTTTCATATATCTTTACTGATTTCAGAGAGAAAGAGAGAGAGAGAGAGAGAAACATCAATGATGAGAGAGTCATTGATCGGCCGCCTCCCGCACGCCCCCTGCTGGGGATCGAGCCCGCAACCCGGGCATGTGCCCTGACCGGGAATTGAACCGCGATCTCCTGGATCCTAGGTCGATGCTCAACCGCTGAGCCGGGTGAGCCAATTCTATCTTAAAAAACATCAATTCACTCTTACATTCTTCCCTTACAATATCCACTAACCAAACAAAATCCAATGTATATCACACCTCAGGAAGAAAGGACAATTACAACATTTTAATTTAATTTAGAACTTGTCATTTTAGTTTACAAAAACATAGAGAGGGATATGATTAAATGTGTTATCTGAGATGCAAAACCAATACAGCAAAACGGATATAAGAAAAATAACTGGATAAAAATTCATTTTCTATTTATACAAAGCAAAACCAAAATTGAGTAATTATTATATTTAGTCCAAGCATCAAAAGAAAAATGACAAGAAAAATCTAAGTATATAATATAAATTATGCATACTTTCTTTAATGCTCTCTGAACTAGATTTGAGTATTATATCATCTGTGTTCTTAAAAGATCGAAAGTACTTAAAGACTAGTGGCATTACTCACATAAACATTGTATTTGGAATTAAATGTCACTGTGTTTTGGGGCTTTGATTTAAAAAATTCTAAGAGGTGTTCTGAGCAGCCCAAAGAAAATAAAAATAAATACTAAAATCTCCCCTGTGAAAATAAGAATGAAAGATCATGAGAAGTATAACTGGTGTTCCAGTTTATAATATTGTAATTCCACTTCTATTCCGACAAATTCAGCAGCATCACTGCATTTCCATGACAGCCACTGGGGTGAAGCCCAGCCCATTCAGCCCTAGTTACGATGCAGACACAGGGAAAAGTGCCAAGCGCTATGCCTTTCAGACACCCATAGCACCATGCAAGATATAGACCCTATAACTAGGATGCAGATAATATAACTAGCACTGTTTTGCTACCTGCTCAAAAAAAAATGAATAAGTTTCTCTTTCTTCTGATTATTTACTCAGATTTTCTCTAGATTAGGGCAGGACCCAATATTATCAGTATTAACAACAAAAAAAGAGCTGGGTCAAATGAATCTGCTAAATAATAATGGAAGTATACTTCAGATGTTTAATAAATAATCTGGGTTGTGCTAAATTACTTATTTAAATGACAGTTTTAAGTTCCTAATTTTGTTAATTAGATTTTATTACCTGTATTAAATATTGACTAAAGAATTTGTGGATCCTTCTAAAATAATTCACAATCTAACAAAATGTAAGTCATTCTGAATTATATCTTATCATCATCAAACTAAAACTAAACAAAAAAATATTGAGTTCACCAGTGTCTGTGACAGTTAATCTTATTTGTCAACTTGGCCAGGCTATGGTGCCTAGTTGTTTGAGCAAACATCAGTCTAGATATTGCTGAGCCTGTGTTTTTTAGATGTGATTAACATTAAATCAATAGACTTAGAGTAAAGCAGATTACCTTCCACGATGTAGGAGGACCTCATCCAATATGCTGAAAGTTTTAAAAGACTAAGGTCCCCTTGGATTCAAGACTGCAACATCAATTCTTCCCTGAGTCTCCAGCCTGCAGACTTGCCCCGCAGATTTCAAACTTGCCAGCCCCCACAATCATATGAGCAATTCCTTGATATCTCTCTCTCATATATGTGTGTATGTATATATATATATATTTCCTATTGTTCCCATTTCTCTGGAGAACCCCAATACAGAATTCATATTTTTAAATCAAATTTGTGTATATTTTATGTACGTAAAAATAAATGCCCAGATGACCACATCAGATTTATTTCTATGTTCTTAACACCGTTATACAGTATATAGGCAATAAATGATTAATGCCTGAATACATGAATAAATGAATGTCTAAATCAAACAAACAGAATAAACTATTACCTTTACTTGGACGAATGGAAAATGCTACTCCTTTTCTTGTGCTTACTGGTACCCATTCAAAGTGAACAAGATAATTCTGATGATTATACAACTTCACTGTGCCCCTAAAACATGTTTCCAACAAGAAGCCATTCGGTTTTAACACTAGCTCATTAGAAGATAGCTCAAGTCTTACTGGCATGACAACCGCCATCACCAGGAGGTGCCCACCAGGTATATTGTTCACTCTAAAGGTGAAAGACCTGTAACAAAACAGAGGTATCCAAATTTAACTGATAATAACTATTTGTAATTATAGAATTAAGTTACATGTAAAAATGCATATACTATTGACGTAACATCCACAACTAATTCTTAGTAAGCAAAACATCTAACTAATCATGAAAGATACACTACAACTGAAATACTAGTCTATGAATCTACAAGTTGATACATATATAGTTTCTATGTTTTGGGATCAAATATAATATATACTACAATTATTGGGGCAAATAAAAACATATCCTATAATAAGACATTTTGATTCTAGCAAATATAAATTTGAAAATAAATCGTACTTCCAAAATTTTCCAGCGGTGGGAGACTGAAATATAATTGGAATATAAGTACTGGTTGAAGGTGGAATCACATATGAAAATTGTTTGGTTTTCTTAAGTTCTTTCAAATTAACATCTAAACGGATCAAAATATGCTTAGGTAGCATATTAACAACATGCAGTTGATGAGTATTTATGGAGTTCACACAAATATCACCAAAATTAAGGACAGAGGGCCCTAAAAAAAGAAAAGTTATTAACTTTAATATTGGCAATGTGTTCATTTTTTTAAAAGTTTTCATAGTATATTTTGATCAATTAATTTATAAAAAATGGTGCTCAGAAATGTATTCATTATAATATCAGAAATTATTAACCAAGTTTTATCTAAATGTCCATAATTTGATGTTTGGAGATTACTGGCTAAAATTCAATATAATTATATTCTGATTATATGGAAAATTATTAGTATTCATTATAACTCACCTTAGTACATGTATTTTCATACTCTAACAACCTCTCCACTCTCATCAATACACTTTTATGTTCACTTATCCAGAATTTACAAAAATTGGTAATTTTCCCATGAATTACTGCTTATGTTTTCCCCTTTGAATGCCTAAAGTTTTTGTCATACATTAAATAATGATGTCTTATCCTGCTTTTTAACAGCTTGATTTAATTATAACTGATATACAGTAACCTACACGTTTACAAGTGTAAAATTTTTAAGTGTTGGCGTGTCTACTCCTGTGAAAAAATCACAATGAAGAGAGTGAACGTCCATCATTCCAAAAAGTATTCTTATGCCCCTTTATACTCTCCCCTTCCCACCATCCTCTGTGTTCTTCCTTCCCAGACAACCAACTCATCCTCTTTATGCCATAGTAGATTGGTCTGCATTTTCTAAAGTTTTATATGAGTGGAATAATACACGATTGTACAGTTTTTCTCTGATTTCTTCCACTCAGCAAATTCCCTGGAGATTCATTCATGTTGTTTCACGAGTCCATCTCTTTACATTACTAAGTAGTCGTTCATTATAGGTGAATGTTTGTTCATTCCCCTGTTGACTGACACTTGGATTGTTTCCAGGTATTGGCTATTACAATCAAAGCTGCTAAAACATTTGTGCATAAATATTTGTTCGAACATATACTTTTATTTCTTTTGGATAAATATCTGAGAATGCAATGGATGGATCATATGGCACACATATGTTTAAGTGTATAAGAAACTGGCAAACTGTTTTAAAGTGGGGTATAATTTCACATTCCCACCTAGCCATATATATAAGTCCCAGATCCCTCACATCTTCCAGCAACAATTGAAACGGTGAACTTTTTTCTTTTAACTTTAGCAGTTCCAATAGATTTATCTCACTGTGATTTTATTTTGTGTTTCCCTAACAACCAACAATGCTGTGCATCGTTCTGTGTGCCTACTTGTCAGCTGTAGGTCTTTGTTAATGAACTACCTGTTCAAGTCTTTTGCCCATTTTTAATTGGGTTGTTTGTTTTCTCAAAATTGAGTCTCAAAAGTTTTACATACCTTCTGGTTGCAATGCCTTCACCAGATATGTAATTTGTAAGTATTTTCTCTCAATCTATGGCTTGTTTTTAACCTCTTATTAGTATCTTTTGAAGAGCTGAAGTATTTAAAGTTGATCAACTCCAATTTACCCATTTTTTTCTTTTATGGATCATGTTTTTGTCGTATCTATCCATTTTTGCTTGTCCCATGGTCATAGACATTTTTTCCTATGCTTCCTTCTACAAGGAAGCACATGGCTTATGATCTATTTTGATTTCGTTGTGGAATATAATGTAAGATATAGATACAAACTCTATTTTTTAATTGTATTTATGTATTTATTTATTTATATGTTTATTTATTTATTTTGGTGTGTGGCTCATATGTTCCAGCACTACTTATTGAATAAACTACTCTTTCTGCACTTCATTGCTTTTGTTCCTTTGTCAAAATTCAGTTGTCTAATATGTGTAGGCCTATTTCTGAACACTCACTTATGGCTCATAAATATATTTCTATATTTATGTCAGTGCTGCACTGTTTTGCTTACTGTAGCTTTGTAATTAATCTTGAAGCCAGGTACTCTTTTATCTCCAACTTGTTTTCCTATTTCACAACTGTTTTGACCCTGATTGCCACGTTTCTGCAGCATAGTGCTTATGACGTTCGCCTCACAATTGTTTTGACTATTATAATTCTCTTGCACTTCCATGTGAATTTTAAAATGAGCCTGTCAATTTCTACAAAAGATACTGACAAAATTTTGACTGGAATTGTGTTGAATCTACAGATCATATGGATCATTTTTGCATATCTTCTATGTCTCTATGTAATTCTTTGAATATATGGAAGGTAATTATAAAAACTCATGTCCTTGACTGATCATTTTAACCTATGTATCCGTATTGGGTAGGCTTAATTGATGGATTCTTCTCCTTATTAGGGGTGTTTGCCTGATTCTTTTTAGGCCTACTGGTCTTTGTTTGGATGGCATATAGTACATTTTACCACATTAGGTGTTGGATATTTTTTATACTCCTATAAATATTCTTGAGCTTTGTTCTGGGAGGAAGTTCCTTTGAAACAGATAGATCCTTCCAGGTCTTGCTTTTATGAAAGTTGCCTGGGTCCAGAGTAGTGCTCTGAATAGTAACAATTATTTTCCACCACTGAGGTAAGACCTTCTGAGTGCTCTGCCCCAATGTCTTGTGAATTATGAGGTTTGTTTGTTTTTTCCAGTCTGCCAAGTGGGAACTTTCTGTCACTATTCCTGGCCTGTGTGAATACTGGATGTTTCTATAAACCTTTCTAATGGTTTTTCCCCTAGCATTACATAGTTTCTTAACAGCACCATTAACTAATAGGAATCTAAGTGACGTTTAAAGAACGTTCAGCGGATAAAACTACTTTTCAAGCCACATGAACCTTCAACAGGGGAGACCACATCCAGGGTCAAACTTAACAAATCTTCAAAATCCATACCTGCATGTACTCTGACCAAACAGAATCAAACTAGAAAACAGTACCAGAAAGAAAACAGAAAAATCATAGAATATAAACAACACACTTCTAAATAACTAATGAGCCAAAGGTAATGTTTCAAGGAAAATTAAATAACAGATTGAACTGAAAGAAATTGAAAATATGTAAGAATATGTGGGATGTAGCTAAAGTACTGTGTAGTAAGAACTTTATAGCACTAAATGATTATATTAGGGAAAAACAGTCTAAATCAATAATTTATGCTTCTACCTCAAGAAACTAGAACAGAGAAAGAAAAGCAATCCAAAATCCAAAGCAAACAGAAGGAAATGATAAATACAAGAGGAGTCACTGAAATTAAAAACAGAAAACTTATAGAGAAAAATCAATGAAACTAAATGCCAGTTCTCTGAAGTGAACAATAAAATTGATAAACCTCTACCAAGACTGAAAAAGGAAATTAAGAAGGAAGATATAAATTTCCAGCATTAAAAAGGTAGCAGACTCTATCAATACAGATGCAGCTGACTCAGACATTAAAAGGATAATTTGGGAATGCTACAAATAACTCTATGCATATAAACATGACATCTTAGATGAAGGTCAATTCAGAAGAAGAAAAAAAATACCCAAACTACCAAAACTCTCCTAAAACTGCGTAGATTATCTGAATAGTCCTATAACTATTAAAAAAACTGAATTTGTAATTAAACATCATCTGAAAATGAAATCTCCTTACTCAGGTGGGGTCTCTGAAGAATTCTATCTAACATATAAAGAATTTGCCTCAATCTCTTTTAGAATATAGTAGAGGAATGAACACTTCTTAACTTTCCCAACTCAGTTTAGGGGGCCAACATTAATGCCAAAAGAAAGACAATAAAAGCAAAATCAAACAAAGCAAAAATATAGACTTATATATTTTATGAAAACAGATGCAAGATTCTATGTTATTATTTAACAATACATAGGTTACAGGTTCCATCCCCAGTTGGGGCATGTACAGGAGGTAACCAATTACGTTTCACATAGATTTTTCTCTCTCTCTCTCTCTCTCTCTCTCCCCCCCCCCTCTCTCTCTCTCTCTCTC